AGGGTCCCTGTGTGGGGCTGGCTGAGCAAGGAGAGGGTTGAGGCTTCTCGCAGCCTCAGTGTGAGGGGGGCACCAAGTGCACAACCCTCCTTTCAAAAGGGAACGGCCGGTGGTGGGGAGGTCCCAGCACTCAGCCTGCCTAGTAAGCCAGCAGCTGGGCTCCTCCATCACTAGCACCCCACTCTCCTGCTGGCTTCCGCTCCGCATTGGAAGTGCTGCATGGGCAGTGGCAGGGTAGCTGCTGCCGTTACCTGGAACTCCACGGCGCTCTGCACTGGGATGCTCCTGTTCCACCAGCCGTGGCCCTGGTGCCCGTGGGTGCGCCACACCATTAGCTGTCCCACTGTGCTGGAGAGCTTCACCCTCAGCTCGCTGCTGTCTGCTCCAGAGAAGGGTAGGGGGATGTGAGAATAGTGCAAGTAGCCAGGGATGGCAGCCCCACCACTCCCAGGGCCCAGAGTGGCTCAGACCCTGGGGGGTAAACCTGGGTTCCCCCAACAGCAAGGGAACCTGAGGCTTGGAGAGGGTAGTTGTTTGCTAGGGTCACACAACCAGTCAGGGTCAAGGCTACAAACAGAACCCAGGGAGCCTGGCTGCCAGCTCCAGCTTTACACCTGGCATCACCCCCTCTTCTGCCATTCTCAGCAAGCAGGCACAAGCCCCCTAAGCCTTTGGGCAACTGCTCTTCCCAGCGAGGTGGGACTGCCCCTCAGTCAGAGCGGACCAGCCCTAGCTTGGCTGCCACGTTACTCTTGGCTTGTGAGCCCGACTCCCTGCTCTGCATCTCTTCAGCTAGAACTGAGGGTGCCTGCCTACCGCTGGTCCAGCCTCTTGCCCATCCCCATGCTAGCAGTATGGTGAAAGCCCAGGGTCACTCACAGAAGTGCTCCTGAAAGTCCATGTGGTACCAGAACCAAAGGCAGGCACCTGCAGTGGCTGGCAGGGGGCCCCGAAGTGCTCCTGAAAGTCCATGTGGTACCAGAACCAAAGGCAGGCACCTGCAGTGGCTGGCAGGTGCTCACTCAGCAGCCAGGCGACATGTCCCCCAGGAGCCAGCACGCTGGCATCGAAGTAAGCGTAGTGGCCTGCAGGGGAGATGCAGCAGGAGTGGAGGTGCCAGCCTCCTTTTACAAGCCAGGTGGGCTTTGCCCGGCCCTCATCTCCCTGTGTCCCTCTGCCAGCCATGCCCAGACTCTCACGTGGGCTCCACGTGCTGGGGAGGGGGCTCCCAAGGCACTACCCACATAGCAGGGCCACTGGGCTCCCTCACTCCAAGGGTTTCCCGAGCTGAGTGGGCTGGGGCACAGGGCACTGCTGCCTCCTGATCGCGCTGGCACTGGGAACAAAATGGCAGCCAGAGACCAGACCCAGACAGGTCTAGCAGCTCAGGTCTCCATAGGCAGGAGGTCTCTCACCCTGGCTGCCCCCAGCATGGCGCCCAGTTGCTCCCAGCTAGGAACCTGGGAACAGAATCTACAGAAGAAGTCGGTGGTCCCCAGCCTGGACCAGAGCGTCATGGGGGCAGTGCCCCCCAGCCTGGGCCAGAGTGCCGTGGGGAAGTGCCAGTCCTTTGAGCTGGCTCATTGCACCCAGAAACACCAGCCCACAGCCGCGGGCACCACACAGCCAGAGAGACACTCAGCACTGCAGCCCTCCCCATCCAAGGCCCCCTGCCTGGTGCTGCAGTCATTCTGCACTGGCCAGAGCCGCTGTGCTCAAGGCAGTTGGGACAGAGCTCGGCCAGCCCCAGACCAGTTCCTGAGCCAATCAGCACCTCTCCAGCCAGTCCCAGGGACCAGGGTTCAGTCTCACTAGACCCTTGGTCCCGGTATGGCTGAGCCAACCCCAATCTGCCTCCATCGTCCTTGCTGGACCCCAGCCCTCAGGAACAAGCCCTTCCAGAGGCTCCTGCCCAGTGCTCCTGGCAATGCTGGGCACTAGCGCAGGCATCTCCCTGAGCCTCCCTCCCCAGTCTCTGCCACATCCTCCCAGGCAGACTGCAGGGTGAGGGCTACTGTTCAGCTCCTCATCTCCACCCATCATTGACCCCCCCGCCCCTCCCAGGAGGCCTCCAGCCAGCAGCGCCAGCTCCCAGGAGAGACTCTCACCTGCTGTCGTGCCCAGCGTGTGATCCACCTCAGGGCCCAGACTGATTCCACTCCTCCAGCCCCAGGCATAGCTGCCAACAGTGGGATCTGAGGGGCTGGTCCAGCCACACGTATCTGACTCAAAGTCACAGGAACCTGCCAGCAAGAGACCCTGCCCCATTACACAGCATGGGCTCATGATGTCACCGGGCACCCTCTGGGCCCTGCCCGAGTGAGGAGGGGAGCAGGGCAGGACCTCGTGGAGCAGCCCCATCCCTGTGTGCCTGGGTACAGCTGCAGGGCTTTCACCATGGGCCCCTTGTACGGATCTGTGCTGGGAAAACGGGTGCTGCCAAGCTGGGAAAACCCATCAGCCCCCAGCCTGGTGCTGTGATGAGGGACCCAGCCCTGACCCCAGCGGCAGCAGCAGCTGCCATGAATGAAGCTGCTGTCTGGAGCGCTGCACTTAGGGAGGGAGATAGCTGAGCCACAGCACCTAGGGCTGCCTTCACGCTGGTCCCATGGCAGCTCTAGCTCTGTTCAGGGGAGCAGATACCAGACATAGAGCGAGATGAAGCTGGGATGGGAGCCCGCAGTGCCACCAAATGCTGAGCACGGTCTCCTTCTGTTGGCTTGGTCATCCTTACAGGGGGGCACAGGGCTTGGGGCAACCCCCTTCCCCCAGTGTCCCAGGCATGAGGCCCAGGGCAACTCCCCCGATGCATTCCTCACCCCTGCCCCATCTCTGCTACACCTCTGCCCCCAAGCACTGCCCCTTTGCCCAAAACCTCCTCCCCCCTGAGCTGGAAGATTACCTGTGGGCTTGGTATGGGGTGGGTCAGCCTCTCCCACACGCACCACAGCATTGGGAGCTGGAGCATCCCGGCAGCCTGTTCTGCTCTGCCCTGCCCCCCCTCAGTGCTCCTGGCTCATCCTCTGGCCCCAGCCAGCCTTCCCAGCCCTGCTGAGCTGTGTCTGGACCACACCTGCCCCCCGGCTCCTCTACCTGGCTCCGGGCAGCTGCTGGCCTGCAGGTGCAGATCATCGAGGGCGATGTAGGAGAGCTGGCCGCCAGCTCCCACTGCCTTGAACACCACCACCCACAGAGAGCAGGCGCAGGTGAGGCAAGAGGCCCAGCAGAGCCAAGCATCACCACTGGGGCTGGGCACGTTCTCATGGAACCTGAAAGGGAGGGGCCAGGCACACCCATGGGGCACTGCGCTGCCTCTCTTCTTTGGCAGGCTGGGCCAGAGCCTGATGGCTGCACTGGCTCCCAACACCAGCATGGTCCCCAGGACTAACCCAGGTCTGCACTGGCCTTCCACCCCCACGTGCCATGGGCAGGCACCCAGTGTAGCACTTAGGCTAGGCGGGAGCCCAGCGCCGAGGTGGGCTTGACCTTCATTCCCCCCAGCAGCCACACAAGCCCAGTCCAGCCACCAGGCAGGGCCGGCTGGCTGCAGAGGAGCCAGGGGCAGGGCTAGGTTCAGCCCAAGAGAAGTCCCTCTGAGCAGGGCTCTTCTTGCAGAGGGGCTCTCAGGGTGAGGGATGAGCGCTTGGCAGGCTGCCATTCAGTGCCCCGGCTCACCATTACGTACAGTTACTGCCAGTGCATCGAGCACCAGGGCTGCCTCACCTTCCAGGCCTCAGCTGTTTGGACAGTCACTTGACCCCGGTGCCAGGCGTCCCCGTGCACTGAGCTCACGCTGAACAGACTCCGCTGCAGCCCCTTCTCCTCCACATGCACTGTCAGAGAACCTAGCACAGTGGAGAGAGAGGGCATCTCCCAAGGTCAGCCGCCGGGGCACAGAGCAGGGAGTGGCAGCGCCACCAAACCACAGCACTGGCAGCCTTCCTGGGAACTTGCTCTCTCCCTTCCTCCAAAGCCCCACATGCAGGCCACTGGGAGTCCAAGCCCTGGGTCCTCGCCTGGACATGTTGGATGGGCCCTACCCCACTCCATGGCCATTTCCGTACTGGAGCAATGGGGCTGTCATGGCATGGAGAGACCCCAGGCTCTGTCACGAGTATTCCCATGGGGCAGGTGTTCCAGACACTGCCAGGCCATTCAGCTGACCAGGCAAACTTGCCTCCCAGAGACTCAGTGCCCACAGGCCCAAGGCATGTACCTCAGCCAGGCCCAAGTTGGAGGCAGGGGAATTTATTCTTGGGTGTGAGCAGCCCAGACTCTCTGCGAGGCTGTGGGTGGGGGGTCGGGATGCTCCCTTCAGCACGAGGGAACCAGAGGCCAGGGAGGGCCCAGCAAGTGTGTGACAGAGCCAATATGAGAACCTGGGAATCCTGACGCCCACCACAGACCAGCCATCCACCTCTGCCTCGTGGCTCTCCCTCCATTGCCAACAGCTCTGAGCCTGAGGGACACGGTGGGGCTGCTGGGCTCACCTGGGTCACTGGGGCTGAGCTGGTACCAGAAGCAGAGGCACCGTGGATGAGTCAGGGGCCTGTACTGCCCAGAGCTCAGTGTGGCTGTTTGCCCGTGGGGCAGGGAGCCCTTGCTGGTGTCAACAATCATGTAATATCCTGGGAAAAACAAAAAGCATCAGCCTGGCAGCGAGAGTCACTTAATCACTCCAGGCCCAGAAATGAGACCCTTGGGCCCACAGCACCAAGCATGGCCTGGCCTCCTTGGAATGCCCTAACATGGACTGGCTCAGGCCCACCTGGCAGTGCCACAACATGGACCCCCCAGAACCATCCCAGGCACACACGGCCAGCCTTCTAGCCAAGCAGGGAAGGGCCCCAGTGTTAGAGCCACAGGGAGGAAAAGCCAGAGAATAACTGTCCTGCTGTGAGTCTGAACCCACGTGGCCTCACAGGCTCGCAGAGCTCTCCCTATCAGCCCAGCTAGAGATTGTCACAGGGTCGTGGCTACTCCTTTGCACTTCCTTTGGCCTGGCCAGCCCTTGGCGCCTCCTCCCGAGGCATGTGCTGGCAGCTCCATCAGCCCTCCAGAGCCCCGGCTGGGCAAAGGGAGAAAACCAAGTCCAGCCCCAAGCTTCCCACCACACCAAAACCTTGAGGAGTTTTGCTGACACAGACTGGCCTGCCACTATCCCTCTGAAACGTGCCCCCCACAGCAGATATCCTCTGCCCTTAACACACTCTTCCCACGGTCTGTCCTTGGCACCTTCCGGAGCCCTGGGTCCCAGCTAGCCCCAGCCGGCTTATCGCTGCAGTGCCAAATGGCACGTAAGCCCCAGTGTCTGCTTTCTGAAAGCCCAGGAGTTGCTTCCTCTGGTGCAGCCCCCTAAGAAGGTGGGACTGGTCCCTGCCCCTCTCAGTGCAGCCCCCTGGCAAATGGCACTGGCTCAGCCCAGGAGAGCAGCATGGCATGGCCACCTTGCAATGCCCTAGACATGGACTGGCTCAGTGCCACAGGGGCTCCCTTCCCGTGTCCCACTCCTCACCTCAGCCCAGCTAAGGATGTTAAATATCGACTCATTGACTACTTGAATAGTTGATGCATTTTTGCATTGACTATTTGATTAGTCAATAGGGCGATTCCACTTTTGAAGTGCAGGGTTGTTGCTACACTTCAAAGGCAAAAGCACCAAGTGGAGCCTGGAATCAGGTGGGGACAGCTGATCCCGGGCTCCACATGCTGCCACTTTGAAACACCACAAATAGCCTGACACCAGGCTCCCCGCAGTGTTTCAAAGTGGCAGCTGATCCTGGGCTCCACGCAGCACCGCTGCTTTGAAACACTGCGTGCAGCCTGGGGACACCCCAGATGGCCCTGGACTGCACGCAGTGTTTCAAAGCGGCCGTGCTGAGTGGAGCCCGGGGTCTGGGCCCAGGCTTCAAGCAGTGCTGCCCCTTGGAAATACCCCTACTTCTTCCTCCTTCTTTCTGCTAAAGGCAGCAAGGGGGGTAGCGACTCCTTGACTAGCATGTTGACTATCCGATAAGCATTTGCGAGTCCTTCACCTCCCCAGGCGTGGCCCTGCAGTATCCTG